AATCCCCTCATCCAGATCATTGATAAAGATCAAGAAAGTCATCTTGAAAAAGTAGGACAGGAAAAGAAGATTGTGCTTCCTTGTGGCATTAATAGATCAGTGACAGTGAAATTCGGTAGCAGCAGAAAGTAATAAAAGAACAAGCCTCATATCCCTTAAAAATAATTTTTTCCGATGAGGCAGTTGTATCACTTTCTGTTGTAGTGATTGACATCAGCTTTATCCAATATTCATAACCAAATTATTTTTGAAAACTAATGAGACCTTATTAAAAAAATGCATTTGGCATTGGGAGAAAAGAAACCGCTGATACTGAATGTTTCCATATTTCTGCTTACTATATCAACAGGACTATATTTTTGTTGTTGTTGTTTTGCCCCTCTCCTTCTCTAGCTGGCATTCTGTAGAAGTGTTTTATTTTAAAGAATATCAAATTGATAGTATCATGTAATATGTTATAAAGCAGGACATTTGTTCTCCCTCCATCTATCCATGCACACCATCAGAACTCAGGTTTCATCTTTTGCCTGTTTTTAGGTATAAAATAACGTGGACTAGCCCTCCAGCTTTTGCTAAGAAGTAAATAATTTTAATGTCAGATCAGATGCCAGGCTTGCAAGGGCAGCACTGCAGTCATTGGTTGACCAGTGAAACAAGAATTCCTCCATTTAGATTCTTGGGGAAGTATTGCTTGCAAGTCCCAATTTTCTCAGTGAAATTAGTGCTAAAACCCACCCACACACAAAAGAAACAAAACCTACTCAAAAAGGGCCATTGGTGTCTTTAACCATAGTACTATGATTACACAATATGTTATTTTCAATGTAAATCCCACAATCTGTCCTGCTTGTATTTTTGGAGTCTTTTGATGACCAAATGCTTTGAATTGTGAAGGGTGGTTGTGGTTGGTTGAAGTTTTGCACAAACGCACATGTGGGGTCCATGTGCAACCCTTCTAAACTTTGATATTAAAGCCTATCAATTAATGCTGGGGTACATGTGGAACTACCACAGTATCATTGCTGGCGACATTTTGAAATGCATTTGAATTAAGGTACTCTAACTTTCTAACTCAATGGATTAAATAATTTCTAGAATGTACTATTTGTGTCAGTTATACTACTACTGCTTATACAGTATTGATTGTAGATCAGAAGAACTTTCCACTCTTTAATATTTAGACTAATGAGAATTTCCACATATATCCTAGATTAAAGACTGTTTAGCTTCTTAATAACTTGATGCTCTGTCAGTAATACCTTGCAAGATGGTGTGGTTTTGTGAAAACTCTCTCATACTGCCTTTGCCTTTTGGGATTTCTCTGTTCTAGCAGTTCTCTAAAGATACAATTTACTGTCCCCTTGGACAGTAACCATGTCCCCAAGGAACATGGATAAATAAGACAGCTTGAGAAGGAGAAAAAGGGAGAAATAATTGCTGTGTCTATCCGAAGTAGGTGGACAGCCTTATACTGCCAACCTGATGAGAATGGCCTGGGTTTTGGCATTGTTCACTGTGTTACAAAGTTTTCTTACTATGTGGAGAAAGAGTAAGAAGTCTGGAAATCTCTCCTTAAATGGCTTTAAAAAAATAAATCTAACTTATTACTAGAAAATTCCATCTTGGAGGCTGGAAGGGAAGAGGTTTTGGTGGTTTGAGCCCTCTTTCATGGTTTGGGACGTCCTAAGAATTACAGCCTTGTGTTACAGGCCGTTGCTTTGCTAACTCTGCACTTTTGTGGCCTTGTAAACACAGTGAGTAATTCTGCTTTTTGTAAAGATTCCATGTACATCCTTTCTGTGAAACATAGGTTGCCAGCTGGTTGGTCTGAGCAAGAATGAGAGTACTCATTAACTGAGTAAGCTAAAGAAAATACAGGAAACAAGGGAAGGCTTTTTGGAAGACTGCTTGCAAAAGAAATTAATAGCACTGTTGGATGAGGACCTTTGTCACCGTCAGTGAAGCAATGAAGGCTCCCTCTAGTCACTGAAATCTCTACAGTTAACAATTTGTGTCATATGGAGGGAATTAAATGGGATTCCTAATCCTGCCAGAGCAAGAAACTTCATGAACCTTTGTGGCTCTACAAAGGAGATGTCTCCTTTAAATCTCTCACCATGTCTTAGTTTGAATCTTATCTGCTTTGACTGCAGGATTCTTTCATGTGCCTTTTGTTCCTAAGGACAGAAGAAATATTAGAATTAAGTGTAATATAATGTGCACACATAACAAAATGGTAGCAGCAGTGGGTTTTGCAGTACACTGGAAGTTGACAAGATTCCAAGAATTATTAATCACAACAATTAAAATATGGCATGTCATAGAAGGAGCCTTGACTATGAGTTTGTCTGTTACTGCTTTTTATCTTGTAAAAGATGCTGTGCTGTGTGTCACTTGTGCAAAAACAGAGAAGTGTCCAGAAGGCCCTACAGGCAAATAATAGTGCAATTCCTAAAAGTTTTAAGGCTCATAGAAAGCAGAGGCCAATGACAAGTTATATTGAATAGGAATGTCAAAAGAAATGGACAGAGAATTAAGATAGGAAGCAGGAAGGCCTTTCAACCACTCTAAAATTGGTAGAACCTGCCCTGGGGCATGACCTGCAAAGAACTGTACTTGGGCTAGTTAATGAAAGAGTATGGGTCCAGGTATGTTGAGAAAGGAAGTTAAAAATAAAGACACACCTTGAGTTGTTCTTTGCAGTGATAACTCACTGAATTTTCCTTACAGCACCTAAGAGTCGTCTCCAGAACCGTTTACTCTTTCACCTGGCACATAAGGTATGATGTGTTTTCTTCATTCGTGCTTTGTTTGTTTTCTTTTCAATTGGGTAATGTGTAATTATTCTGCCGGGTTGCTAGCATGAATTAAAATGTCTGTGGTGGCAGGAGAACAAACATTTTCCATAACCACCCTACTGTATTCAAATGTGGAGGAGAAAGTAAGTGTGAAAACATGATCTCAGAATAAATGCCCTCAGCATGTATCTAAGGAAAGTCTTAACAACTCACTTCACCTAAGTCATATAACAGCAACCTGATGGTATTTTTGATCACAAGGAACCTGGGACTTGGATAGATTCAGAAATGAATAAGCCGCTATTTTTCTTTTTCTTTGAAGTGTACAAAGATTTCCTAACTTGCATCTGTCTAATTGCTAACTTAGCAATTTGAGCAAAATTATCTATATGCTATTACTGATCCTCCTAAGTCATTCAGTATCCAAGAAGTAATATTGTTTATAGCATTAAATTTACTTCAACAAAAATTAAATGCTTATTTCACTTACCACACATAGCTACATTCCCTTAAATTTTATTTTGCACCATCCTGTATTATACTTAACAAGTATTGTGCTGCTGAAGAGACTGAGTTTTAGATGACAGAAAGTGTAAATTCTGAATATTAGCTTTGATGTCAGATTCTCTTTACTTAAATCTGTTAAGTTTGAGAGAGAAATCTTAAAACATTTTTGTAGTGGCACTGGCACAGATGGCTGTGATAAAGAGAAGCTGAATAATTCCTAGTCCATGTAGTCAGCCTTTGGAAATAATGGGGTTTACTGAACTATGAAGCCCACTGCTGTTTTGTTAAGCAACTTCTCTTGCCTTTGTATTGGAGTATCATTTTGTGACCGACTCATAGAGGAAGGAAAAGGATTTGGCAAAAACTGAGCAGATAAATTAAAAACAAATATGTAAGATCGTATTTGAATGTAAAAGAAATTAATAATTACTGTTGAATCAGCAGAACCAGCAAAGAGAAGCACTGGAATGAGTGATTTGAGTAGACTGATAAGGTGAATAGCCTCAACTTTACTATTGTAATACAAATTTAGTGTGTATGTTTAATTCTGTTCCTTATTTTTATCCTTATGTGTGTTATGTGCAATGGTTTTAGAAATAAACCATTTAGTTAAAGAAACTGGAATTTTAAGGGACTGATGAAAGAGAATTTGTTAGTGCTATAAAGAAGTCTTGTGAAAATTAGTGCTATTGTGTTGGCAAGTCTTGCATTTTTCTGCTCTCCATGAGAAATTAAGATTTGGATCTACAAATGGCAAAAATTTTGCTGTCTCAAACACTAACAGTCAAATCTTGTATTACAAAATTCTGGTTTTGAAATAATTAATTCAGCTTTTCCCCTTTTATCCATCAAGACACATTGCATGTAATTATGTCTAAATCGCACCTTAAAGGAAAATGCGTGCTTAGTTTTAGCCTCACACTTACCTAGTTTCAACTAGTCTGGCTCTTTAATGTTTGGCTTTCTCCACTGGTCAAATTAACTTTAAAGTAACAGAGTTTTTTCCAGATGTTTCATATGAATCACCTCCTGTTTGCCAGCAAGGACAAAACTAATCCAGCTCATTAACTTAAAACAATTATGTTAGGTTGTTTTTTTTCTCACTGAACTCTTCTGAGAATGTGTCACACTCTTTTTAGTTCAGTGATGAGAAGAAACTGATGAGCTCTCACCAGAATCTGCAAGACATTACAGAAGATCAGCTTAGCTTGGCATCTATCCACTACATGCGGTCTCACTACCAAGAAGCTATTGATATCTACAGACGCATTCTTCTTGAAAATCGGTGGGCATCTCTACTCCAAACCATATTGCAGTGTTTCAGATACTGTTGGTGTTTGAATTCCATTTAGCTGCTTGGTTTCTGAAAGTAGGAATTTTCCCCAATTACTATGCCTCTTTCCCACCGCAAAACGTGCGCAAGTTGCAGCCCCTTCAATTTTGTTCATTGCAAAAAGATACTGAAAAATGCGTGTTTAAAAAAAAGTCTGCTGTTACTTTCTTTTAGTGATGTTTTTGTGTAATTCATTCTGAGATCTTTTAGAATTTTTCTTATTTATTTCTTCTGAAATTATAAATGGTTATGTACCTGCTTTGTCTTTCCCCACCCCCTCCTTCTCTTCTGATGGCCAGTCTGGAGATCCTTGCTTGCATTACTGACTATTCCTTCACCTCTTAGCCTTTCTAAGAAGTGTTCAGTTGTTAGTTTTTATGTAGAGTGTTCCTTTCATTCCACTAAGTCTGAAATTCTTTCCATTTCTACTTAGCCTGCTATGACACTTGGTGGTGGTTTTTTTTCTATCATATTCTGCAAGTTCTTAGTTCACAGTTTAACAAGGAACCAATTAAATTATTCAGTGACTGGAAGTATTGTTTAATAAAATAGAGACTGTTGTCCCAGAATACATAGCTATCTTTTGGCAGTATCTCCTCTTCAAAGCCTCAGAGAAGTTCATCATAATGTATATAAGTATGTCAAATAATGCTTAGGGAAGAGTTTTTAACTTCCAAGTCCTGTAGAAGCAATCACTCAAAGCTAAATTAGTAACTTGCATAACAATTATCCTTTTGCTTACTGTTACCACAAATGACTGCCTTATTTCTATGTCTAGTTCTGGTTTGATAGCTTGTAATGGCAAGGATTTTTTAAAATCATTTTACTTGCTCTAAGATAATAAGATCCATTAAAATATTTTCCAAGTTGTATGTACAAATTAAATGTCTTTGCACGTATTGCATAGAACATCATACTCTGCCAGACCAAATACATTGCTCATGTTCTGTGTGTTTCCTTTCTTAGTGTGAAGTTGCTTCCATTTCCCAGATTTGCAAACCAACAGTTTTGTAGGCAATTCTTTAAAGCTGCAGTAGCTGCCATTGAAAAAACTAATGTGGATCTGGATATGTGCAATCTTACCTAATAAACTAGAGCTCTAAAGATACTTAATACGCATTTCTCAAAAACTCCAGTTTTGATGTGCTTGTAAAAGATGTACAGACATGTAAGAGCTTTACTACTGATTTTGATGTTCTAGCATAACTACCCGGTGGGATTTAAGTGTTCTCTTTAATCCTCTTCCCTGCAGGGAATACCTGGCTCTGAATGTATATGTGGCCCTATGCTATTACAAACTGGATTACTATGACGTATCACAGGAAGTGCTAGCTGTTTATCTTCAGCAAGTTCCTGACAGCACCATTGCCCTTAACCTTAAGGCTTGTAACCATTTCCGACTTTACAATGGGAAGTCTGCTGAGGTATCTATTGGGCAGCCCTTCAATTTACTTTTATGATAGTTCAGAGTTCCATACAGGTTTATTTTCCTTGGTATCTGTCTTAATCAGTGATGTTGATAATGGCCTTTATTTTGTCATTGGGTTCTTCTCTTGGGAATGTCACCCATTTCAGTTTCCCTGGGAGTAAGCCATCTATCCACATGTGTGCACAGTGGTTTTACAGTTTTCCCAGTCCACTGGTGTCTACATGTATTATTCAATTGCTAAAATCATTGTATAGATGTGGCAATGCAAAAATCGTCTGGTTGTTATAAGAGGCCCCAAACAACAATGCACTCAAGGATAGGGATGAAAGACAGAGTTCACGAAGAAGCACCTCTTCAATAACCACTAGGGACCACCAAAGACCACTGAAAATTACCATGTGCTAATTAGTTCCAGGGAAAAGAATGAATGTACTAATTAGTTAATGCATATGTATGTAACAGGGTTATATTATCCTTGACGGGTGCTGCATATGGCATGCATGTAAGGTGAAGTGACCCCCTCTGCATCTGGCACTGCAAAAGAGAGAATGCCCACTTCTTAATGCTACATTGGTGTTAAGACATTTTATTCCTGATTTCAGTGACACCGTGACCCAGCACTGCTGGAGGTGCCTTCCATCTGTTTTGGGGCTCACATGAAGGTCCATTTATGCTTGTGTGCTTTTTTGTTTTCATGTTAAAATTTTTGAGTGTTTGTAATTCCAGGCAGAGCTCAAGAGCTTGATGGACAGTGCCTCATCGTCTTTTGAGTTTGGCAAGGAGCTCATTAAGCACAATCTGGTGAGTAATGTTATTTCTTGGATTTAATATGAGCTGCACTCATTTGTAGAGCTTTCCTTGATAATTCATAAAATTGAATATTTTGGGAATTGCAGACCCAATTGAGTCTCTGCTGCCATATAAGATCCATTCCAGAAATCCTATCTGTATAATCAATGTACTGTCAAGTGTGTTCTTTTTTCCTGAGTTTTTCCCTGTGACTGTGTCAAGAAAATAATAATGCTGTTGCTTTTAGCCCTGAAGGTATATTAAAATTATTTATGTCCTGTAAGAATACCTTTGCAAGGGATTTTGTGGAAACCAGTCAATAAGGACACTGTAGAAACAAGTCAGAATGCATGACCTTGAATTCTTATTTAGTACAACAACGATGTGAGCGCAATTAAGATAACTCAGGAAAATGGTCTTCATCCAAGAAGTACTTAACAAGGAGTTCATAGGAAAAAAAGTTGCTGATAAAAGCGAAAATACTTGTGTGTTCTGCAGTAAAAGAGTCACTAATCACCTGTTAATTTTCTCTGCAGTGGTATTATTACTTTGCTGAACAACCAGTAACAGTAGATTGCTGTTATTTAATGATGGGCAGTTGCTTGCTTTGTCATTTTTCAAGAGCAGTTACAACAAGCTAACATTTCTCCCCCCCAAGAGTTAAAACTGCTTTCAAACGGAACTTTTGAAAGTTAACATTCTTTATTTTGAATGTTGGTCTTTTTGCCAGTTTGTTAAATAAGTACGTTATGTTTTCTTGGGGGAACTGTCATGTGAAACTGAAGTATAAAGAATGGACTGCTCCTGATCAGTTTGAGATCTTGTGGCACTCTAAATAAATTTAGAGTTGTTAGCCTAATTTTTTCATATGAGTACATCATAAGCAACTTGTAATTCTGTGTGTTCCCCACACTCTTGTCTCAGACCTTATTATTCTTTAAAATCTTTGATATATAAAGTATCACTGCTCTGAGCTGCTAAAAGCTGAAATAATCTTTACTGATGAATTAAAAACTTTAGATTTATCAGAATAAAGATTGTCACACATTGTAATTCTATAGTTATATTAAAGCGGGGATTATGTTAATGCCAGTACCGCTGACCTTTTCCTACTGTTAATACAGGAGTTTAAGGTTTAATTTTCTTGAATTAAGAGATCACAGACAAGTTTTTAATACACAGTTATCAATATGCCGCTTTCTCTGCAGGTGGTTTTCCGAGGAGGAGAAGGGGCTTTGCAGGTCCTGCCTCCTTTGGTTGATGTTATTCCTGAGGCAAGACTGAATCTTGTGATTTACTATCTCCGGCAAGGTAAATAAACCTTCCTCTGGCTCTCTCATAGCTTCAGGAATTAAATTCATTCATATGATCTTAACTGACTATTCCATGAAATACTTTTTTCCTTTGCAGTATAATGTAATTTATTTTGTTTTCTGTTTGGAAAACAGTGGTGTAAGAGTTCTCATGGCTTGCAGAGAAGGGTTTTAATTGTGTGCAGTCAAATAAATCTACTTCAGCAGAGTATTGGAGGTTCATTGGGTTGCAGGAGATGGTTTTGGAGTTGGTGGTATTTATGTTTATTGCAAGATGACCTCTCCTCTGCCTGAATATGTGAGAATGGTAGGCAAATGTTCTATGAAGGCAAGGACAACTATTTCTGTAAATATGACACAAAATATATTCATTTGAGGTTATTTAGATTTCGTTATATTTGTTAATTAGGTATATGTTCTCAAGTAAATTCAAATACTCACAACTGTATGTTAGTAAAAGTACATTATCACCTGCCTTATGTTGTATAAATTTATAAAGTTCTAGGTAAATAACAGAATCATGTTATTAGTGAGAAGGGATCTCTGGAGATCTCTAGCACAACATTTTATTCAAGGTAGGACCAATTAGATCAGGTTGCTTAAAGCCTTGTCCATACAAGCATCTAGTCAGAACTTCCTCTGTTCCACCTTGTGTCCACTGACTTTCATCTCACCCTATGGAATCTGTCTCCATTTTCTCTATACCTTCCCATTAGTTAGTTGTAGACAGTGATAAGATTGATAAGATCCTTTGAGTCTTCTTCTCTGAAAGCTAAACAAATGCCATTCTCTCAATCTTCTCCTTAGCCTTGGGAGCCCTTGAGTGGGCTCACTCCATGTCTGTCTTGATCAAGGGATCCCAAAACTGGACACAGTACTCCAGGTGTAATCTCACAAGTACCAAATATAGAAGAATCCCTTCCTTTGCCCTGATGGCTACATTCTTGCTAATATGATCCAGTGTGTGGTTGGCCTCCTTTGCTGCAAGGGTGCACTGTCTGTCAGGACCTCCAGGTTGCATTTTAGCCAGTTAGGTCCACCACCTGTCTTGTTGATCAGAATTGTTTGAAATGAAGAAAGATGCAGGAGTTGCATTTTGCCTCCATTGAACTTCATGAGACTTCTTTCAGCCTATTTTTTTTTTCAGCCTGTTGGGCTTCTTCTCGATAGTGGGGAGCTTTCTCCCTAGTCTTCTATCATTTGCAAACTTGCTGAGAATACTCTCTATCCTATCATCTGAGTTGTTAATATAAGACATTCAACAGTATCAATACCTGGAAGATTTTATAAGTAATGAGCCATCAGTTGGATTTTGTGCAACTGATCACCAACTTTTGGTAGACCAGCCAGTTTTCCATCCCCTTATCATCTTAGGCAGTCCTATCTCTCAAGTTTGGCTATGACAAAGGTATAATCTTACTCTATTATCGAGCTGTTGGAGTGGGTCCAGAGGAGGGCCACGAAGATGGTCGGGGGCTGGAGCACCTCCTCTACGAGGACTGGCTGAGAGAGTTGGGGCTGTTCAGCCTGGAGAAGAGAAGGCTCCAGTGGGACCTTATTGCCACCTTCCAGTGCCTGAAGGGGTCCTATAGGAAAGCCAGGGAGGGACATTTTGCAAGGGCAGGTAGCGACAAAATGAGGGGAAATTATTTTAAACTGAAAGAGGGTAGATTTGCCAGTCTATTGGGTCAGTCAGTACACTTTGGCATTGGTAAATCTACACCTACTGTTCCCAGCCACTTTTCTGTCCAGTACTGTTATTGCCAATATCACACTGTATTTACCAACTGTCTTGCCCAGTAATATTCTTAATAATAATATATGCTTCAAGTTAAGTTGTACTTTGCTTCTGTGTAAGTATATCTTCTGCATCATCTTGTTTACTCATTTGCTGTCAACCTTGCAGTAATTTTCATTAGTTAGGTTCTGTTCTTCATTGTGGTAAACAAACGACTTACATACTAACAAAGAAGGCTAGAGGGAATTAGAATCAAAAGCTCTTTCCTGGTTAGGCTAAGTTTCCATTTTAAAGTCTTGCTAGTGGAGCAGCATCAGTTAAGAATGTGAGAAATCATTACTTCTAATGACTACCACTGTCTCTCCACAATTTGCAGGGTCTCTGATAAACGTAGGCTTGTGTTAAGACATGGTCTGAACTGAGGTAACTGTAGCACAAACATGCATCCCATTTTTTTCAACTCTTTAAGGCAGTGACTTTTAGCAGGATTTGGGTCCAGGTATCCAGTCATAATCTGCTCCAGGGAGATTTGCTAGAGGCTTCTGTTGGAGCCTGAAGAGCATATTTCCATGTTGATGGTCTACGCTGATGAAAATAAGGGCTGCTGTCATTTTTTTAATGTTGGTTGTTGGTGAGCTGAGCTAGTCAGAAAATCTCCAACCAATTATTTGTGCTTAAAAAAAAAAGTTACTACTTTTGCCTAGTCTAGTACCTTGTGCTGGCTTACTACGTGATTGTGCAAGGGAATGGGTAGGGTTGGATGGGAGCCTGGCAGCTCCAGTGTATAGTGCCTTAAGTCACTCTAGAGTACTGTCCCCGCAGTGTATGGATGGTATGGACTAGCAAAAAAATCTTTCTCTGGTAAGGCTTGTTCTTATGGGCAGCTGGTATTAACAAAATTTTGCCAGTACATCTCCACTAGGCTGGGTTACTAAGCAGTCCATAGTGCCAGCATTTTGATTTAGGTAAATTTTAGAATCTTTTCAGCTTACTTATTTCTTGGGTGGGAAGGAAGTTGTTTATTGAATTCAAACATTACATTTAAACTTTCATGCTAGTAATGCTTTTTGCTTGTTAGAATTAGGATCAGGTAAGAGTTGTTGGACAGTTACTGAAATATTTGTAAGGAAAAGATTAAGCTCCCTTTCAGAATCTTGTTACCCTGTCCTTCTTGAGGGGTAAAAAAATATGAGAAGAGAAAAGACAGGTAGATGATGGATTTATTACCTTGACCTTGTACTGTTGAGAAGGCAGCCACTGGATTATGAACAAGGGGCCAAGTCATCTCTGCTAGGAAAATTGTAGTAATAAAGAAGCTATTACTCACTCCATGTTTGTTATTTGAGTTCAAGAAAACCATCACTGTTGTGATATAAATTTACAATGATTTATAGTTACCTTTCTCCTCCTGTCTAAATGCTTTATTTCTTAGTCTGTGACTATTGGGGAATGTTGTAGAGGATGAGTGATTTGTTCTAATACAGTGTGCTGTGGGTTGTCATGCATTCTAACGTCTGGTATTTCAGATGATGTGCAAGAGGCTTATAACCTGATTAAGGACTTGGAACCTACAGCTCCACAGGTAATTGGAAACTGATGTCATGGTACATAAAGACAGAGGTTGGTATGAAATCTGCCACATACAAAACTAGTACAGCTAGTTTTGGGACAGCTTGTCCCATTCCCACTTCTAAAACTCCTGTGTTTTCCATCTCTTTATCAACAATAGACTTAATGTGCATCTATAAAGTATTCTATATGAGTGCTTAGCATGTTTATTAACTCCAGGTGATACAGCACAGAACACAGCTTTGTTGTGTGCAGACTTGATTCTAGTGAGCTGACCATTAGTGCACAGATAAAAGCCCTCTTCCAACTGCTTGTCACGTCTGCCCTGGTGATGGTTACCATCCTTCAGATCTACTAGCTCAGATGCTCGTGGGGTTTGTCTTGAAGCCATTTTTTAAAAAATTAGCTAGATTAGATTAAGTAGTTTAAATAATAGGTCTTTTCTAATTCCATCTCACTTTGGCTGCAGTGAGTGAAAACTGCAGTGTCCCTTGGCTGCTACTGTAATTTTCTTTTGTGGCTGTTCCAACATCTTTGGTCTCTGATTTATTCCTCTTTGCAGTTTATTTTCCAAAGGTCACATAGCTGGGTATGAAAGGGACCTTTCATGAGTCTGTGTGAGGATTAGATGGAGGGAGTGAAAAGGAAAACTTCAAGAACACAGATCTAGTGGATTCTGTGCTGAGGAGTGTCTTCTGCTGTTGCTTTTCACTTCATGCATTTTTCAGTATAGCAAGACTTACTTCAACAGTTTTCTGCGGCTATTGGTCCTGTAGCCTTCATATTCCCCGTATGCATGCCTAATATAAATAACATTATATCATTCTCGATCACATTTTGAAATTAGTATTTTTGTGCTTTTTTTCCATTTTCTTACTCACACTTGGAAAGAACTCCCTGCTAAGACTTGCAAAACTACCTCTATATCCTCCTTCAGTTCTTCTCAAATTTCGTCTTCATCATGACATCTGTAGGATAATAATTTGCCATTTGTAAGAGAGTTGATGTGCTAAAATGATTACTTAGCATACTGGCTGGTACTCTCAGATTGTTTCCATGCACTCCATTGTTGGTCTGTTTACCTCTCTTTTTCTTTTTCTCTGTTTACATCTGTGACAGGGCTGTCCAGGTTTATCAGGAGTACCTACTTCAACAGGTTTATAGCTATAACTCTCAATTGTAAGATTCAGATAAGACTGTTATATGCTGAGAAAATCTTGCTTACAGAAGAACTGAACTATAGTTGTATCTCATAGTACAGATTACAGGGTACTCTATTCCTATTCCTATTTTCAGTAGAGTAACATGACCACAGAGCACAAACCTCTTGACATTTTTGCCCTGATAAGAAATGTTATGCATTTTGGAACAAGAATCATAGTGGTTATGTGCATACTTGAAGTGAGACCTATGTACTAATATAACAATATTTCACTTGATTATTGGTCATACGATGGGGAGAAGGGCAAGATAGTGTGTTGTGGTGTTTCTTTCAGTGCATCATCTTTGATCGTAAGACTCATTAGAAAATGCACTATGCCTTTGCATCCCACGTATTTAACAGAAATTACTAGCTAACAAGTAGAATAGATTTTTGGGGGTAACTTTGTACTACTGTGCTGAAGCACTACCATAGTATCATAGTAACCAGCTACCTATTAAACTTAGTTGGGATAGAGTTGAATTTAAGAAGAAAATAATGTGCAAGTAGGATTTTACATGTCTCCTGACACCTTATCTTCTCTGAGTCTTTCTACCTTTTTTTTTTCCAGGAGTACATTCTCAAAGGAGTGGTAAATGCAGCATTTGGACAAGAAATGGGCTCGGTGAGTGAAGTCCATCAGGTTCTCTAGCTTCTCTAACAGTAGGATGTGAACAGATCTGTAGGGACTGTAATGGAGTTAAAGAGGTCATTTCTCATTGAGATTTCAGGATCTCTGAGTCTCTTAATCTTCTTTTGTACAGTACTCAGTCCAGAATGAGTGAAATACAAATTTTTGTTACTAGTCCTGACAATAAATCAAGCTGAATTTGGCTAGTCTGTCCTGCTTCCTAAAAACCTGTTTGCTTTCTACAGTGTTCTTGTATATCTAGGCACATACAGTGGCACATTTACCTTTTCTGTTTTCACTTCAGCCCTGGTTTGTCTGTTAATTGCTCTTCATTTCTTCCTCAGAGCGTATTTTCACCGTGTATTGTAGCATCAGCTCAGGAACTCATGTTGGAATTTTTTTCCCTCTTCCAGAAAGATCATCTGAAAATTGCTCAGCAGTTCTTCCAGTTGGTGGGTGAATCAGCCAGTGAATGTGGTATGTTTGAAATGTTCTTTCTGCATTATATAATGCTTCTTACAATATCTAAATATATACTGTCATATCTTTGTCTAACTGTTGACTGTTAGCATGGCTATTGCTAGGCATTTGGTTGCTATAGTATGAGTAACAGCCTAATTTATAGTCTAAGACAAATTTGCAAGTTTAAATTGGAAGGCTCAATTGATTCCAAACCTTCTTGTTTGAATTTGTCTGGAAAAGAGGCTACACTGCAAACTGGTAGACTTCACTGATAGATGCCATGGCAGCTTGCCTTTGACTAATAATCTCCATTATAGAAACAGAAGACAACAGCCTAATTAGATGAAGTGTGTGACTGAAACCTCACAGGTACAGACACTCACAAGTACAAACCCAGGACTGCTAATGAAAACCTGTCAAGTACATAGAGTCCTAGCACAGAGTGTGCCCTGGAACTTAGGGTGGTAAAAACAAAAAGAGGAATTTGGCTACAGAGAAACGGAGCCTCTGGGACTAACTCCTTGGTTGAATAATAAAAACCACATTATAAAACCCAACAAAAAAATCAATAGATTTTCAATATTTACCCTTACTTACTCAATAATAGACCAAAACAAGACCTTGTCTTCCCTTCTCCTTGCCAAAGTAAACCCAAAATTCCCACATCAAAAGCACCAGTAGTTGGAACACACAAATTGAGCTGAAATGGGGCTTCCCAGTTTCCTTTGTAGGCATCGTCAGCAGGACTATTTCATTAGGTGAGTAACTTATGCATGTTTACAGTGCGACAGCTCATGGTCCTCAGAGACAGAATGCTGTCTGCTGTGTCCATGGTGACTAAAGAGAAGGAGCTCAAGAGACAGAACAGCAGCACTGATGAAACTTTCAGAAATACTGTTGAGTCATTCTGTGCCCCTTGCAGCCCTTGTACTGTTGAGATATTGCAGCAGAGAGCTTCACCTTGTAAGGCTGGAAGTGGTTCCATCAATGAGGCTTCCCTTATACATTTCTCTTTCATTGAGGCTACCCCTTTGGAGTCAGGATCCCAGCTAACACCAAGAAGCAATATGAATAGTGGCATTTAGCTAACTGGGGCTGTGGTGCCAGTAAGGTCACAGGGTAATTGATACAATGGTGGTGGGACCTCTTAATGCCCAGAACAGTCATGCAGGTATGCTGAGTGACCATAGCACATATGGATAAAAATAATACAGAGATATTCTTAGAAAAGATATCCTGTAAAGATGTATAGTAAAGATACAGCCCAAAACCAAAATTGAAATTGTTAGGAATATTAAAGTCTTAAATTTTACTGTGAAGTCTTTTTAAACCCATATGCAAAACAAGATAAAGATGCTGAGACTTGAGATGTGGTTGAGGGGGCTGGGGGGAAGAGAACAGAAATGTAGTCCTATTAGGAAAGTAAGTTAGTTGAAAAGAGTGAGTTCATGGGAAGGACTGGTTCGAACTAAAGGTAAATGGAAACATTAGTACTACAAGCATCTTACACTCTTGGTACTTCCAGTAAGAACTGCTTTGTCATCTTTTTAACAGCTTGTGGGAGAAAGCTGACATACAGAAGAGCACACCGTTTATTGTAATGCCTCCTTTAAAGGTGAAATAGTGTCAGGGATTTTTTTGTATCCGCAGATGAAGGACAGGTAGAGGTCAACAGCCTGTAGATTGGAAATAGAGGAAGCAAACAGAGTTCAATTTAGATAGGACGTAACATAAAGCAAACACATAGAGACCAAATATGTAAGTGGTTTTATACAAATATTAGATGTTTTACAAGAATATGAATGAAGTGGAACACCTGGTTTTGGAAGAGGAAGCTATAAACCTAAAATATTTTTTTAATGTGATACGAGGAAGGTAACATGTAAGATATGGTTCCTATTTAATTTATGATGGGGTATTGCTAAATAGGTGATGGAGAAATGGTTCTAAACATTATAACCTTCTCTTAAAATAAAGTAAATGTATTTTTTCTTTATCAGTGAGTAACATAAAAATGTTTTAAATAACATGCTCAGATAGGAGACTCATTGTATTGAGGCTAAATTATTCACCAGCCAGCCTGGATGGGAACAGTGACTGGCATATTAAAGAGGTTAGAGATTTTATATAGATAGACAAATAATAGGTGAAGACTTCTTTTCTGCCCATATTGACCTAGTAAACACAATGACATAGCATGATATAGGGAATGAATTTTTGAATGTCAAGTTTTTATCTTTCTTAGAGAACACATAAGTGAACAAGTGACTCTAGACTAATACAAAGATTACATAGAACCTCATATGAAATTTTGTTATGAAAATGCAATTCTGATACAGTGATCTGAGTATAATCCAATTCAAAATCCATGTGTTAGCAAATACCTCAAAAAAACTTCCACAGTACTAATTTCAAGAAGGGAGGCTACATAATAACTTTTCTCATTTCTAACAGAAAATTTTCAGTGAAGTAGCAGTGAAAAGGATAAAAAGCACCTGATTTGAACACTTGAAAGAACCTTTTGTTTCTTTAAAGAAAGAGCTCGTATTCATAATTAATGAGCTATAGGAGACAAATAATGACATGACTAGGTTTGCCAATGGTACAAAATTACCCATAGTAGGAAAAATAAAAGCTTCCACAATGATGAAAGCTGTAGAAGAATATGTGAGGCTGGGTAATAGTAGGCAAATTAAACTTAGCTTTGATGAATGTGTAGTACACAGAGGAGGGGAGGAACCCCCTAAACTGTATTTGCAAAATTATCAGAAAAGTTGAAGAGAGTCATAGGAATTGATGAGGAAAGAGAGAACAAAACAAAAATAATTACTGTGTCATTGTATACAGATGTGGCTCCCTTGCTTGAATAGTGTCTGCAGTTCTGCTCCTTACATTTCAAAGAAATATGGTAAAGCAAGAAAGGGTACAATAAAGACAACAAGGATGATCAAGGAAATGGGATAGCTTCTTGAACAAGGAGATACTAAATAAAGTAAGATACATGGTCTGGAAAATGATGAGTGAGTTTGGTTATGTTCACAGTACAGAACATGATAAATAACGAGAAGAACAGAGAAGAATTAGTTACCGTACCTTATGAAAAAACGAGGAGCATTCTGTTATTTGTCTTGCGTGATGATTTATTTCAAACAGCACAAATTACTTACTCACATAACACAACTTACTTGATTTAGACTCTTGTGAGAACCAGAAGGTATAAAGAAACTCATTCAGTCCATTGGCTGACACAAATTTTTCAGTAATGATTAGGAAGTCCTCAGTGCAGATTGTTGAAAATAGGAAAAACTTCCATGGTAGTGGCAGTACATACCACAGCATGTATTGTATGTGAAAGCAGAATATATTATTTCTATAGTTGTTTATTCTTACTCAGCAAACTTCTCAACCAGATAGACTTTGGATCCAATATGATATTTTTTATGTTCTTCTGTAAGTTAGCAAATTAGCCACTATGTTGTATATTTGTGGTCATTTTTGATCTGCTGCATTCGTTTTGCTGGATTTGGAATGGAGAAGGCAATTCTCGCTGTTTCTATACTTGGGGTTTTGCTGAGTACCCTGCCATGCTATTCAAGCATGTAAGTCATGCTTCAGCATTTCCCACTGTGCCGATCCTTGCAAGGAGCCAGTACTACTAGACTGTCTGTTTAAAATCTTCATCAAGTTACTTTAGCTGCTTTGCAGATTTATAATACAAAAGTAGGTTGTGCTCACTAGAGTGAGGAAATCTATGCTGTGTCTTGGCTCGCAAGTGGGCCTACAAGGCTGCTGATTTTAATGTGGATTATCAAAAATTAATGCATTAAAACAAAAATGTGGACTATTTTTTCAAAACAAGGTCCTGTCTTTCTGACTTGCTCTTGTTAACTGTAGAAATCCCATGACTGTATTAAAAACTGTCTTCCTAAACAGACAGTTTAGGAAGAATACAGTGTCGTGTATTTGTAAAATCATTTGGAGTCACCAGTTAAGCCTTCTGCTTTTTTAAAATTAAATCTCTGACTTGGAGGTTTAAGGAACGCAGAGCAAACAGTTATTGTGAAAGTCCTTTCCAATACTTGTACACATTTTGTCTAATGTTGGAAGTTATGTACTTTAAGAGGAGTGGGGACACCAAAAACAAAACCAGGAAGCACTTATTGTGTAGGAGTCAATATTCACCCTCTAGCAGCAATAAGTAACACCCAAGACAGCAGCTTGGTTACATGTTGGGGGGTTTTTTTAAGCTTAATAAAAATTCTTAATCTTGGTGAAGAATCTTCATGAATCTTCATTAAATGGAACTGGCATTACAAAGGCGGATATAACTAGATTTTTACAGTTAATTCTCATGCTCTTCTCCTAGGGTCTCAACTGAGTGAAAAATTAAACAGATCTGATTTCTGAGATAACTTAATAAAGAAGTCGAGCAGAAGGAACATTAGTGAAAGTAGATGAACATCAACGTTTCCATTAAATGCAGTGTTTCTGGTGCTTAACGTAAGTCTTACAAACTCCTCTTAAAACACTGCAAGCATAATGGAGAAAAGCACCCCTTTCATTTTCAGTGGTCCTCTTTTAGGACCAAGTTGGGAATATCTAGTGTTGGGTGGGAGGAATGAAACATTTCTCCTGGACCTTGTGCTATCTATTTGCATTTTTAAATTTTGTTTAAAATAAATTGCTGTGCATTTATGAACTTCAAGGATTGAATGTGAGAGAAAAGGAGCACTTTTGAGGTACCCTTATTCTCATTACAACAACAAAAAAAAAAGGGCAGAAGAACACTGAGGAAAACTGTTTCTGTTCTTGTCTCGTCAAGGTATATATGTGTCATGATAAATACACCTGCATGTAAAAAAGGACAGATAAATATACAAGCCAGTTTCTGCTCCCAAGTGAACACTTCATAAATAAACAATTTTCTTAAGTCAGAGAAATGAATTATGTGGTTCAGACATAGAAAAGGATGGATAGTCTCTATATGGAAATGACAGGACATCCAAGCTCAGTATCTCCTAGTGCTGAAAGATAAAAAATGACAATATTCTGCTTTCCTTTGAAATATATTTTGTGGTCTCATATAGTGCTTTCCAGGAATAATTGCTGCCCTACCTTATTTGAAGGAGAATGTACAGTTTTCCAGTGGAATATGCTGTATTTTGTGCTGTAGTATGAATCAAAGTACTGGTCTTCAGATACATGAAATTTCATATACAGAAAAGATATTTTAATGTTCTAGTAGGTATAGATTGATGGTAACTAACCTACAGGAACAGATTACTTCAGGGCTGTTGGTAGCATTAGGATCTTATCTCCTAGCACCTTACCTAACTGCACAGAGTGGTGTGCTCTCTAATGATCATCTGATGTAGTGAAATAGCAGTGATTTGACATTGCTTGCGTTTCTCACTTTCTGGCTGCTACTTGGGTTCATCCATCTCTGACCAATCCCTGCTGGTTGAGTCTAACAAAAATCAGCCCTGGTAAGCTCAAAATCTCTAAAAAATATCTAAAGAATCTCTGAAAAAGCTTTGAAATCGTTTTTCAGTAACATAGCTTGCAATTTCAGAGTAGATGACAGCACAGTATGATGGCAGCGAAGTGTAGTGACATTCATTTGACCTGATATGCCTCACTCATTTATGACTTTACCACATGTGAGCACTGTGGTAATCCCAAATGTGCGGAAATTAATTTTCATATTGTATTTTATCACCGGGTATTTTTCTTGTGCATGTGTTAGTTTTTTAACAATATTTTCAGTGTATCACGTTCACTCTCTTACTGGAAATAAAATTAACGTATGTACAGCTTCTTTGTCCAGGATAACTGAAAAGCATAATTTTAAAGAAAAAAGGATAATGAGATTAGAATAACAAACTCAGGCTTTGTATCAAGTGTTGCTTCCCAAGAGTAAGAACAATTCATGGTAAAATTGTGCTACAGAAGTTGTGTCATGGAAAAAAAGCCTATTACGTAAACAATTTGTCTCTGTAGAATTTGGTGTCAAATACAGACTTGCAATAGTTATTGTATGCTGTAAAGAAAGTTGACAGGATGATTGAATAGTTTTTCTAACCTCTGGTATGGTCATTTGCCTGAAAAGGCAAGTTACACTATTTTTAGAAGTTAGCTGCTTTCATAGTTGCCAGCAATCTTGGCAGTGATTTCCATTTACGATATGATTTTTAAATTCTGCAAATCTGCATTTCTCTTTTCACTTCTAGATACCATTCCAGGGAGACAGTGCATGTCCTCCTGCTTCTTTCTTCTTAAACAGTTTGGTAATGTCCTGGTTTACCTCAACTCAGTCAAGGTTAGTATTACTATTTAGCATTGGTAGTACTCTAATGCATGGAATCATCACTTATGGAATTAGACTGTACTGTGTGAGAGACACTATGTAAACGTAAACAGATAGAGAAACACAACTGTAACAACAAAACACTGGAACAACAATGGGACATAATTGGAGACGACATTTTAACGAACAAGAGTGCGTAAGGAAAATAGGACATGAAGGACGCTGAAAGTAATAACACTTGTATTTTATAGGGAAAGCAGTGACTGAAAGGCTAAGATAGGGCAGTATTACCAAAGCAGTAAGCTAAGAATATTATTTTTGCAGAAGTAATCTGAGTGGTACCCTGCAGGCAATGTTGCATTTTTCAAAGTAAGAGGAGTTTGCAGTTATCATAATGCAGCATTATCTGGTCACCAGTATTCAACAGATAAAATGAATATAACTTACAGATATGCAGTTATGTCAGATGTGAGGAAGAAGAGAGAGATTGGAGTGTGATTATAGGGTTAAGTGATTGCAGTCTTGTTCCAGTGATTTGAAACTAGAATTGTAAGAACTCTTTATTTGGTAGGAAAGGGAACGAGAATCTTAAAAGGAAATTATTAGGGAGATACACAAGATGAGCACAACTACAATGTTCTAAGGAGGGTGAAATCTAAAGAAACAAATGTGGTTGTAATGGTGCCAAGAGAAGCTGATGGGTGAAAAATTACAAAGTTGTAGTGTTTCTAAGCTTTGTCTGGAAAGAGGTCATTGAAGAAATCCCAAGTGGCTGTAGCTGCTGGAATGGCTCCACTGTAGTGGAATGAAGAGACATACCACCACCAAATTGGACTGTGTGTAATTGAAGAAAAGGAGAGATGGAAACTAACAGTGAGATTTGTTTTGCCTAACTTGAGCCATCAAAAAGTCAGATTTCTAGTTATAACTGATAATCTGATCTCAGTCTGTAGCCAACAGGGGCAGATGGTCATTTCCGGAGGAGAATTCATCCTGTGTATTTCTTAAACTTATCTTAGAATGGAATGAGTCACCCCATAGAAATGCCCAACTTTTTCTATTTATTTTAAAAAGTTCTTAAACAACTAGTTCTAACCTGAAGAGTTTAAAGTTAAATGAGATTACTCACCACCTCCAAGGTATATGGGAAAGCTTAGGAATGAGAGAGAGAGAAGAGTAGCATCTGGGGAGGCAAATGGAGTTGTCATTAATATTGGAAAGTAAGGCTAGCATTTGTAAAGGAAAGAGCCAGAAAGAAAAAAGTCACTAAACAGAAATTAAGAGCATGTAAGTGGGAAATAGAGTGGTCAGAGGATAGGTCAGAGTCATGAGGCAAGAGAAGCCTCGTCGTTATTTTTGTAAGATGTTAGTAAGAGCCCATGCAGTGGGAAATATGTACGAGGAATAGATCTAATGTTTAAAAGCTGTCAGGAGGGAGGCAGAAATAGTGACAAGTGTGGGTATGCAAGCCTTCAATCCTGCTATATTTATCAAGTAGAATAAGGAACATTCTTGCCTTGTCAGATCTGGGAGAAATTAATTTATTATTTGTGCATAGGAGAGGGGAAGATTTATCTGACTGCTTGTTTGGGAGTTTAGTTTTGTTTTAAAAACTTAGCTGTTTTGCTGAAAGTATGTAGAACTACTGTTGCATATTATAACACATATATGTGGATCTCAGCTTGCAAGCTGGACTTGTTCAGATGATGCCTTTCATTGCACAGTAGTGTACTCTTATTTGGAATACTGGCCACTACTCCATTATATGCAGAAAGAAAGGTGATTCAGAGAATAATTAGAAATTGAAATATTGTCTTAAGATATTTAGAAGGTAGGTATTATTTGCTATAGAGAGAAGTTAAGAAAATAAAAATATACAAAATTAGCATTAGAATCAACAAGGTAGATTTGAATCCTCCATTTGTATTAGGAGGGACTGAAAACACATGCAGCCTGCTGGAATTGAAACAAATTCACAATGTCTTGACTAAGAAAATGTGGTTTGTCCCCCTCATAACACAGTTGGTTTATGGAACTCATTGTCATAGTTCAAGGTAGGGTTGAGGTTGCAAGTCTGGAAGATTTTATAGATTGTATCTAGGAAGTTGCAAAGTTACCAAGCTGAAGGAAAGTATGTGTTTGTTAAATTCTTGAAGGGAATCATATATATGGATAATTTGAGACATAATGCAGTTGATAAATGGCAAAGACAAAGGACAAAAGGTTTTTGCCTACTGCCACTTTCCTTGCGTCGTCTTTTTGATTGATCAATGTAGTTGATCATTCTCATCATTTTTTAGCTTAGACTGGCCACTGCTCAGATTTACTTCAGTCATTCCCCCATCTCTTCAGGTTACAAGGTTGCAAATAATTCTTTCTGTTCCGTGTTACAGGCAAGGTTTAGGTGGCCTTGCAGTCACCTTTGTATTTCATACACAGGAATGAATTTCAGTAGAATCTATGCAGCTCTTTAAGTGAAGCTGTGCACTCTGTGAAGATTGTTTGTGTGATACTCTCTCAGGAAACACCATCTTCATCCATGATTGATTAAAACTGCTTTAGACATGGGAATGTCTCAAAGGACACCTTATTACAAATGTATTGCCAGCTGCCCTGAGGGTGACATTATAACACTGAGCACCAACTGAGAAGGAAAGCTAATTCCAGCTCAGCTGAGTTCCGGCCACAACGAATGTTTCATTGTTCAACTGGGTATCTGAGCATCTCATTGAAATGAACATTACGCAGAGCACAGTTTGTTTTACGAAAAGATTGAAGACCACTATAAAGATCACAAAAGGGTGCAGTCCAGTACATATTATTGGGTTAAAAAACATTTAAAAATCTAGCTGCTGTGAATGTGTTGCACTAGTTCATTTCTACTGGTTTTGTTTTAGCAGTAGGTCTGGTCTGTAGTGCTCATACAGGCAGAATGACACAGTTTTTGAGTTTGGTTGCTGACAGAGTTTCTTTTCTGTTTTAATTCAAAAATACAATGGGGCTATTTGAACAGAAGAACCTATTAATGCAGTAAAACTAGTATCTTGCTCACTAGTTTTGCTTAACCTGGGACTTGTGCTGAGTCCCATGAAACTATCATTGAGGACGAATACAGTAAAGTGTTGTAATTTTCATATGGTGAAACCAGTTAGTTCACCCTAAGGGTGCTGAAATGTTTTCACAAACTGAGCTTGAGATTCACCCTATTGTTTCATCCTCGTGCTTTCACATATACTATATTTGCTGGCTTTTGGACCCTGATATAGACCATTTAGGTGAAACCTAGAATCCAGCAAAGGGTGGCAAACCCCCACCTTTCATCTCAAAGCACTAGCTTGATGTATGTGGGTGGAGTGGATCAAGTACCTGTTGTTGACTGCCTGTGACAGGAAAAGGAATTGGTTCTTCAAATGTCCCTACATCATGAAAGAAGCCAGAGACCACTGGGAAGGTGTTTTGCCCCATGCTTTCCATGTTGATTGTACAGTCCCAACTATGTTTTTTACCTCCTTCTCACTCTTTAACAGAAGCTTGATCTTCCCACACAAGTTCTCTTTCTTTTGCAGATGTTATATAAGGAAAAAAATTATTCTTCCACACATCTTGTTGTTATGCACCCAGGAAGGCTTTTCTTACAGTAACTATAGTGGAGAAACCACCCTGCTTTTTTCCCATGCTGCTCCATAAGCATTGCACCTCTCTTCAGCAGAGATCCTCAGTTCCATCCACACTTGTAGCTGTGGTATTGTGTTCCATCTTACCTCTACCAGATCTACCGGTGCAGCAGCATGGGAGAGTGCTGAATGTAGAACACATGCAGCTGACTTTTGGTCGTCTGAATTATACTGAATTATATGTATATATGTGTGTGTGTGTATTATATATATATATATA